TTTTTTGTAGTTTAGTTTAATTTTATTGTGCTGTTATTTAGTTTCATTTTATTGTGGTTTATTTTTTTGTTTTGTTTCGTAGTGCTGCATTGCTTAATTTCATTGTGCTGTTTTGTGTTTAGTTTATATTGGCTTAGTTTTGTTTAGTTCAGTTGTGCTGCATTGTTTAGTTTTATTGTGCTCTTATTTATTTTAGTACAGTTAAGTTTAATTGTACCGTTTCATTTGTTTGGTTTAGTTTTGTTTAGTGTCACTGTGTTGTTTAGTTACTTTTGTTTCATTTTGTTTAGTTTTATTGTGATGTTATTTAGTTTAGTTTCATTGTGCTGCTTTGTGTTGTTTTGTTTAGGTTTAGTTTTGTTTAGTTCAGTTGTGCTTCATTGTTTAGTTATATTTGTGCCGTTATTTATATTTGTTCAGTTTAATTGTGCTGTTTCTTTTGTTTGGTTTAGTTTTGTTTAGTTTCACTGTGCTGTGCTGTGTTGTCTAGTTACTTTTGTTTCATTTTATTGTGATGTTGTTTAGTTTAGTTTCATTGCCCTGCATTGTTTAGTTTCATTATGCTGTTGTTGTTGTTTTTTAGTTTTGTTGTTGTTTTTAGTTTCATTGTGCATTTTGTCGTTTAGTTTCATTGTGCTGTTTTGTTGTTTAGTTTACGTCACTTCATTGTGTTATTTATAGTTTCATGGTGTTCTGTTTTGTTATTTAGTTTATGCCATATTTTGTTGTTTAGTTTCCTTGCGTTTAGATTCATTGGGCTGTATTTTGTTGTTTAGTTACTTTGTGCTTTGCTTTGTTGTTTTGTTTGGTTTCATTATGTCGTGTGTAGTTTAATTGTGCCGTGTTTCATTATTTAGTTTAGTTTCAGTTTTCTGTGTTGTTTAGTTTAGTTTCAATGTGCTCTGCGTTGTTTACAGTAGTTTAATCCTGTAATCATGCTCTAATCTTCTTGTCTCTTTTGTCATCTGAATGCTTTGACATTTAAGTACATTCAGCTTTCATATGTTCCTCTTATCACACTTGGCTCTTAACACTACTAGACATACAGGCACAGCAGGGTTTCTAAAAAAAAAAAAAAGAACAAAAAACGAATTGATATCACACTCCGCAGTGTGTGCCACATAGATGTTGAATCCTCAGAGAGGGATTTACAAGCTAACGCTGGTGCGTAAGTGTGTGACACTGAGCCATCTTTTTCTTCTAAAGAGCACATGGGTCTCAAACAGTGTCCAAACGTGCTTCATCACTCTGTGTGTGTGACTGTTGTCTCAAATCTCCATATTTATTCCCTATTTTTCCCCTGATGGCTGAGTCATTATATAGACACAGAACAAGTTCTCCAGAAGCCCAGTGGATCTCATCACACTTCAGCTGTGTCTTCAGCCTCTAGCTTCACACTTTCAAAGGAGAGTGAAACACACAATGAGAATGAGATTGGTCGTTGATTGCTCTGGAAGTTGATGTGTTGCCCAAGTAGTGATTATATAAATTTCCCTGAAATGCAGACAGGTATTTACCCTGTCTTTTCGGGATGTTGCTAACTACTGTCCGCTGGAGTGCAGCTGTATGTTTTTTGTCAGCCCTGTGACATTGATTGACAGTTAACGGAGAAAGTGTCCCACTGAATGGCAGAATCGATCTCTCACACTGATCTGCAATTTGGTTTTAATGGCAGCGGTCCTGTTGCTCCAGGCATCAGAGCCCGTGATAAACGGCCATGTATGTTGCTTTGTTTTTCCTCTGTGCTGTGGCGTGAGCGCGGACCATTTATTTACTAGATTACAGAGCCACTGCCATCATTTATTCAAAATGTGATCATGATGTAAGCCAGACTTGTGCTTGCAGCAGAAAGCAGAGCACAATGGCATAATTTCCACCTCAGTGATACTTCTTTACTTTCTTTTTCCACTTCCTGTTCCCTATTGTTTCTCCTTTTCTTTCCTGTCTGTTTTTACTTTATGTCTTTTACTTTGTTTTTCCTTTTGTTTTGTTTTACTTCTATCCATTTCCTTTTCCTCCTTCCCTTCCCATTTGTCTTCCTAGTGTTTATCCTTTTCCCCCTCCCTTTCCCCTCTGGTTTTCCTTTACTTCCTTTTACTTTACTTTTCATTTCCTTCGTTTTTTCCTTCCTTTCGTTTTGTTTTACTTTTAATTTTGATCTTTTTTCTTTTCTTTCTGATTCCTCTTTCCATTAACTTTCCTCTTCCTCCCATTCATCTTTCCCTTCTTTAACCTGTTTTCTTTTGCAGTACTTCCTTTTACTTTGCATTTGATTTTCTTCTTTTTTCCTTCCCTTTCCTGTTTCCCTTCACGAAAACCCTCTTGTTTTCCTTCACTTCCTTTTGCTTTACTTTTCATTTCCTTTGTTGTTCATTTTCTTCCTTTTCCCTTCTTTCCTATTCCTCTTTCCCTTCCCTTTCCTCATACTCCCATTCATCATTTTCCCCATATTTAACCTGTTTTCCTTTGTCTATTTCCTTTGATTTTCCTTTTGCCTTACTTTGATTTTCTTCCTTTTTTTCCTTTCATTTCCTGTTCTTCTTTCCCATCCCATTCCTCTTCATCTTCCTAGTGTTAATTCTGTTCCCCTTCCCTTTTGCCTGTTTTTTTCCTTCCTTCCTTTTACTTTGCATGTATTTTTCTTTGTTTTTGCTTTTCATTTTCTTCCTTTTTCCTTCTCTGTCCTTTTCCTCTCCCTCTTTCCCTTGCCTTTTTTCTCTTCCTCGTCCTGCCATTTACCCTTTTCCCATTGCCTTCCCCCTCAGTTTTTCTATTATTTCCTTTTACTTAAAATGTTCCTGTGAGTTTTCGTGTACTTTCCATTTTCCTGTATTTTTCCTTTTTCTTTCTTTCTTTCTTTCTTTTCCACCTCCTTTCCTTTGAAGTTGCGCTTGAACCTACTAGTTGGCATTTGTCTGAAACATGTGATGGTACACAACCTACTCAAAACAAATCAGTGCCAGTTTAACGCAGCTGTTGGCTCAGCATTATTTACTAAAGATCAACATTGTCTTGAAGGTTTCCCAGCTGTCACGTCAGACTTGTAGATTTCATAAGCTGTGATTTTATGCGCAGTCAGTCTCCCTACCACTTTTTTTCCCCCTCTCTCATTCTTTCGCTATCAGTCTCTCCATCTCTTTCAATTAAAAGTGAGCTCACGGATCCCTCACTGATCTACATCACAACATTTATTTTAATTTATCATTTATTTTCACACATCATTTATTTTTCTTGCTTTTAATATCTTTGTTTATTTTGTCTGTATCTTCCATGGACCTTTCTCAGCAGGGGAAGTCGTCACAGTTGGGTAATCTTCTGTAGCTCGAAAAAATAGAGACCGACTGACAACAGTCAAAAAGAGAATGATGTCAAGTTTACTGTCACTCCTAGATGTTGTGGTAGAAACACCTGTTCTTTTTTTTCTTCTTACGTTTGTATTGTTTGTTTGTTCATTTCTTACTACTTTGGATCTTTCCTTTGTTCAGTCTTTCATTTGTTTTCTCATTCACTTTCTTTAGTTTTTCTCATTAACTCGCTTTTAATTTGTTTGTGTGTGTGTTAGTTAATTGTCACTTATTCTTTCTGTCTTTTAGTTCTGTTTTTAAAACTCATTTTATTTGTTTTTCTTTTGTTTATTTACTTGTTTTTCCTTTTTTTTGTTTGTTTGTTTATTTATTCTCTCATTTTGTCTGTCTTGTGCTTGCTCTTTCTTTTGAGTTCTTTCATTCTGTCTCTTTGTATGTGTTTTTTTCTCTAATTCATTTGCTCATTCTGTCTGTCTTTCTTTTGTTCTTTAATCTTTCAGTTGTTTATTTCTTTTTTTGTTTATTTCATTTGTTTGTTAATTCTCTGTCTTTTTGTTTGCTTGGTTATTTACTGTTCTGTTGGTTTTCTGTCAATCATCTGTTCACTTGTTGTGCTTACTTATTTGTTCTGTATGTCTGATTTTCTTTAGTTATTCCATACACATTTTTTATTTGTCTTGTTTGTTTGCCTTTTATTTCTGTTGTTCGTTTACCAATTCTGTCTTTTTCATCTTTTTCTTATTTACTTGCACTCCATGGCATTTCTTAGGCTTCCTGGCAGATCGTACCTAAGAATGTCTGGATATGTCGTTCTGTTCATAACAATACAAAAAAAAAACATTTAGCCATTTGTTTGTTTGTCTTACTGCTGCCAAAAGCTTATTTCGCTTTCACAGTCCTTGCTTCCAATAGTAAGAGAAGTCCAAATTCTGAATCCATCCATGTCTTTCTCTCTTCTCTTTTCAGAGCCAGTAACATGCAACTCAAAAAATTTCATCTGTGCCAACGGAGAGTGCATCTCCTCTCGCTTCCGCTGCGACGGTGACTTCGACTGCACCGATAACTCTGACGAGGTTTCAAGCACCACATTCATCAATTGCTAAACATCATTCATCTGGATCCTGATAGAGTTCTGATATCCTGTACGTGTGCTTTCAGAGAGGCTGTGAGAGCCACTGCTCCGAGGATCAGTTCCAATGCCTGAATCATCTCTGTATCTCAGTCAAATGGCTCTGTGATGGACAGGAAGACTGCAAAACCGGGGAAGATGAGGCCAACTGCAGCCCTGCCAACACTGCCATGACAGGTTAGCTGCTTTCACACGCTCTTTAAATCATGCAAACGGATCCAGAACCGATCAAAGCTGTTCCCAGACAGCTAGCTTGGCACTCCTATAATCACATGTCACCGAGCGGACACCTTTTATCCAAAGGGAATCATAGGCCTATGACTACACAATGGTGACTGGAGATCTCTGCACAGCCTCAAACCCTGCGACACTGCCTTCCTTTATAACCGCTAAGCTACTTTCGCTTAAAACTGACAGCAAAATGACCCTACATTTGTCATCTTCTGCATTTAAATGTCACCTAAGGAATTTCATTGCAGGGAACGGCTTGTTCCTCCCTCAGCACCAGACTCCTTAGAGTCTGAAAACTGCTGCTTAAGTACACTTGGTGTAAGTGTATTACACCTGCAAACACTCCAGCCCAATTTATGTTTTAAAAGAGGTTGCTATAAAGAAGTATGTCGTCTTTTGTGGAAAGTATTTACGTGCACCCAGAACACCTGAATATACCTTTTATATATATCCCCGTTGGGGATAAAAACATCCCGCAATCTCGCTTCGAGGTCCCGATTTTACTCAAATGATTTGCGATCCGCGATCCGATTGGAGCGCTTCGAAACTCAATGGTTTAACTGATTTAGAGTTTCAAAAAGCTCCGTTGACACTGTGTTCTTTGCTCGCTTTCTCTATATAATTTATTCTTTGCTTGAATAACCGTGGAAATGAAATCATTACAATTAATAGGCCTAACTTACAATGTTTTTAATAGATTGTCACGTTAAATACAGTTCCCGTAGTATTAAAAACATTTCATGACATGACACCCATTATATGGTACTTGCCTAAAAAGACAGGTTTATGATGTGTATGATTAACAGATTACACTAGTATTAGATTACTTAGGCTACAGCCTTACCCTTATCCACCTATGGAGAGAGAAAAAAGTTTTCAAAAGCATCTCCCCCTCTGCTTTTTTCACAAATCGCACCCTGTATGTATATATATATATATATATATATATATATATATATATATTAGGGATGCACCGATACTGAGCTCCTGTACTGGTTAAAATGCACCCAATACCAAATGCCGATACCACACAGCATGTGATAAGTGCCATATTCAGACAATGAAACACCGACAACAGAACAACAGACAGCAGAATGGAGTTATTAGAGATTAAGGATGTCTACGAAGTATATGTATGCAATGAATATAATGTTAAACATTCAGTATTAAC